CACAAAGTGGCAGGAGAGAGCTGACTCCTAAGAATTGTCCTCTAGCCTCTACATGTAGGCCATGGTGCATACATTTTTACTCACACTGACACATTTTTAAGTAAGCTTTCTGTCACTGAGGAAATCAGAGATTGTAGATGCGTAACATAACAGACAGATACCCCTGGGACACAACAATAGCAGCACTGAGTAGAGTTTCTCTCAGGAACGCCCACATCAAAAGATACAAGGACCAAAAGCAAACAGCCTAATGATGCACCCCAAGGTATCACAGAAGCAAGAACAAACCACCCCCCAACATGGTAGAAAGAAAGAATGCAGATCAGGTTGGGAGTGAAGTCAAGTCCGGGTCACAAGGCAAAAAGCCTGTGAGACCAGACAACCCAAAGGACAAGCCGTATCTACAACAGCAGGGGAGGCACATGAGGGGAGAGGAGAGAGCAAGAATCAAAAGGAACTAAATAAAAGAATTTACTGGTGTCGGGGGGCAAGGAGGTCCTTATGCTCACAGATACGCACTAGGGGAACTTGGAATGCTAAATACACAGGATTGTTCCTTCGAGGGAATGGATGACCTTTGTGCAATATGTATGGCAGAGACTTTTGGGCATCAGACCCTTCTCTAGACCCTTCTTGTAAATTTACTTTCTCAGAAAAATCTGTAGAACCCATCTTTACGGAAGGTGTCGCGTGAACTTTACAAAGAGTCTCAATGTAGTCATGTCTGATCTATATGTACTTACTTTGTTGTCCCTCAAAGTGACTTCGATATGACTTGCTGTGAACATGGGACTGAATTAATCATCACAAGTTCTCACCAGGTTATGCTGTGTTTAAATATGCCTAAAATAAACAGCTCAGGGTCAGACTTGCAAAGTTTGAACCAACACCAGCTACCGGTCAGGCTGTGCCAAACCGTCTCCCTGCCTCCCGCGGCTTTGTCACTTTGCTGCCCGCAAAGGCCACAGAGACCCTCTCGTGCTGTCAAGTGCAATCACAGGGCTGAGCAGGCAAAAGGAAAGGTTGGAAGCTAGAAAGACAGGTGAGCCAATATTCTGAAAAGTGTGAACCAGGATGAAGGCAGCGAGATGCACCCAGCTTCACTGGCCTGCAGGACACATGGGGCACCATGACCCAGCTTAGCAGGACCCCCAGAGGAGAGTGATGGAGTGGAAAGATACATGAAGAAAAATTAGAGAGATTAATAACAGGACTGAGGTTCCCCAGGCTGCAGAGGAGCAAGCTAGCGTTGGAGAGGGGCAGGGTTTTTTGTTTGTTTGTTTGTTTGTTTGTTTTTTACACAATGGAGGCTGGATGGTGAAGAGGGCTACACACTGAGTGTGTGTGGTTCCATCGAAATGGGCCCTTTATAGTTAAGATGGTAAAGCTGAGGTATACTCTATTCCGATAGAAAATAGCTGAAATATTTCCAGAAATAACTGAAAACCTTCCCAAAAGTAACAGGACCCCTGGAACTTCATGTCTAAGAAGCACAATGAAGAAGAAATTCAAAGGTCACCACACACTGATGCAGTTACCAGAAGACAACTGAGGTAGTTAGATGGTCAGCTGTCACCTGAACCAGAGGCTGGGAGGCAATGGGGTGGTGGCGCTTAAAGGAGAGGGAGGAAACTACTCAGAAGCTGACACACAGCCAGCTGCACACGAGCTACACGTGGTGGCCGTTAGCCGCAGTCCCCAACTCCTCAGGAAGCTGAGTCAGGAGGATTGCAAGCTAAGAGGAAATTTATAAAGGGACTGAGGCCCTGTAAGGGCTCCAACATGGGATGCTTTCCGGGTTCAACCCTCAGGTACATGAAAGAAAAGGAAAAGGAAGGAGACATTAAGGAAACCCTGCACAGGTAGGAGAGTCCTCTGCTCTACAAGAGTTGTTCTCATTCACGACAGGAAGGAAGGGTTCAAAAGAGCATTCAAGGCCACAGGGAGGAACGAGGTCTGCATGTAACATCTGCCTGCAACATCTGGTCTCCAGGCTCCATGGAGTGTCCCCCTGACACCTGAGCGCCGTCACTTGTCACCAGCCATGTTCAGGGTTCTCTTCCAGTCCATCTGGTTCAGGTAAACTCACAGCCGTGTTCCCACTGCTGTCTCAGTGTCACGGCTCTGATCTGGGTTCCTCGTGTGCTACTGGCTCTGGGTTCCGCTTGCACTTCCTTTTCCTGGTTCCTTGGAGTGTGAGCTCAGATGACAGGTCTGGGCTCCTCCTTCATGACTATGAGTTTCCCTCTTGCGCTGTTTTGGCCGCATCACAGCTTGGGTTTGTTGCGTTTGCTTCTCCCGACTCCTTTGCTATGTAAGTGTGTGTTCTATTTCTACAGACTGGCGAACTCTCCAGATCTCGTTCTGTTTTGATTTCTGTTTCTCTCTGTCATGGTCAGTGATGAGGCCTTATTTGATCTCCCTATTTCAAACTTATTGAGATTCATCAGCCCCGAGCTGGGAGCTGACCTGTAGGATGGGGAGAAGCCACTGCCGCTTGTCGTGTTCTGTGTGGCTGTGAGCCCAGATCTCTGAGCCCTCTGTACTATGGTTTTCCATGTCCTTTTACTTCTTCTTTTAAAATACTAAGCCCGGCATTGGTGGCGCACGCCTTTAATCCCAGCACTCGGGAGGAAGAGGCAGACGGTTCTCTATGAGTTTGAGGTCGGGCTGGTCTACAGAGCAAGTTCCAGGACAGCCTCCAAAACAATATAGAGAAACCCTGTCTCAAAAAAAAATTACTATTCTAACAATGGCTTTCTCAAATTGACAACTGTCACCTGTGTACCGGGGCTGCTGAGTTCTTTCCTGTTGAGCTCCATATATCTTGAGGTCTATAGGATAACAACCATGTGTCCTTGATAGATTGATCTCTGTATTGATATTTAACGTCTCACCATCTCCATACCGATTCTGACTGTGCGTGCCGCCCTGTCTGCAGGCTGCTCGAATCTCTGTGGTTACTGTTTCCAGGTGTCTCTTCCCCCATTCCTCCCATCATCATTCATCTGTGTCTCAGGGTCTAAAATGTGTGAACTGACCTGGGCCGGTGGATGTGACCTGAGATAGCCACTAATTAAAACCCATCTGGACGAAGAGCCCAGGGCCGATAGCTTCACAGATGAGGGACAGTAAACTCAGAAAAGAATTATGACCTCTTCTGCCACTGCTCCCCACCCACACAACACAATCAAACTGACCCCAGCATCACAGGAAGGGCTTGTGCGGCTCGGCTGGGTGTCAGAAATGTAAAGATGACTCAACGGAGAACCCAAGCAGTGCAGTAGATCGCAGGGGACCGAGGGACTGCACGGTCATCTCAATCATGCAAACAAAAAGATGCCCAGGAAAAGCCAACACCCTTTCATAATAAAGAGTAAGTCTAACAGAAAGACCTTGTTCAATGCAGGACACCCATGAAGCCTCATCCCTCACCCTTTCTAAGGTCAGGGACGAGGCAAGAGTGTCCATTCCCATTACTTCTACTCAACGCTGCACTGGAGGTTACAGATGAAGCCACTAGGCAAGAAAAACCCCATTTATCAACAGCAAAACCGTTGGGGTCAAAATGGTGCTGCTGGTGCAATGATGGATGTATAGGTCAGCAGATGAAACCAAATGACCTGTTTCCTTTTTCTTTTTTAAGATTCATTTATTTATTATGTGTACAGTGTTCTGCCTGCATGTATAACTGCAGGCCAGAAGAGGGCACCAGATCTCAATATGGACTGTTGTGAGCCACCATGTGGTTGCTGGGAATTGAACTCAGGACTTCTGGAAGAATAGGCAGTGCTCTTAACCGCTGAGCCATCTCTCCAGCTCCCATCACCTGCTTCTTAACAATGGCGCCAGGACACCCAGTGAGCCAAGAATTCTCGTTCACAAATCATGCTGGGACAGTCAAGCGGCCACACGCTGATGATAACACTGCACTCCCATGCCACATCGAAAACAAACTCAAAATGGATCAAAAAGAAGAAAGCATCAAGGCCAATCTACTGACCAAAGACTCAACTGTGGTGTCTCTGACATGCCACAAAAGTGCAGGGAATACAAGAGTAGAGAAATTAAATCACCAAAATTAAGAAAGCACTGGGACTTGGGCATGGTGGTGTACACCTTTAATCCCAGCACTTGGGAGGCAGAGAAAGATCTCTGTGAGTTTGAGGCCAGCCTGGTCTACAAAGCAAATTCTGGGACAGCCCAAGCTCTGTTAACCAGAGAAACCCCATCTTGAAAAAAAAGGATTGGGCATTATCAATGGACATTATTAGACAATCCTCAGAACACAGGCAGACCAGGAACCTGCTACCCAGAATCCAAGAACTCCATGACAGAGAGACAATTCAGTCTAAGACAAAAGGACCACCCAAATTAATTTTATAGAATGGCATAGGAGCCCCACTCTGCACAGCCAGGCCTTTGAACTGCTGAGCTCTGCTGAGCACTTCCCATGCAACTCTGCCATTGCTTTCTGGGACTCAAGAACCTGGGACTCCCAGTGAGTACCCACAGAACCTAGGCATCTGACGACATGGAGGACACTGGGAACCAGAGGCTGTGGGTGGGATGCTCTGGCCACAGTGCTGGTCTCAGATGCAGGAGAGACAACTCAGTGATGGACCGGCCCATCACCTTTCTCCCACAGACGCTGGACCACTCTGAGGATGGGGCTGGAAGATACAATAGTCTTGGTGTTTAATGCCATCACCAGGTACTCTGGCCAGCAGCCACAGGTAGAGGGCACAGGGTCAGCCCCGGAAGGCCATGCTCTCCCTCCAGACATGCCTATTTTTAGGGCAACCAGTTCAACAAGAGTTTATGACTGAGCCCTGGAAACTCTCCAGACTGAACAACAAGGAAAGGGAAGGGCACAGAGCCTCCTGCAGCAAAACACACCTGGGGGATAAAAGCCCAGAGCTCAGAGCCTCACACACACACACTTAATACTCACAGTCACTCAACACACTCATACATTCCCAACTCCAGCCAACCCCGCCATGGCTGCCTCCACCATGTCTGTCTGCTCTGACGCTTGCACCAACTGCTCCTGGCAGGTGGACGACTGCCCAGAGAGCTGCTGTGAGCCCAGCTGCTGTGCCCCCAGCTGCTGTGCCCCAGCCCCCTGCCTGACCCTCATCTGCACCCCAGTGAGCTGTGTGTCCAGCCCCTGCTGCCAGTCTGTCTGCTGCACACCCTCATGCTGCCAGCAGTCTAGCTGTCAGCCATCTTGCTGCACCTGCTCCCCCTGCCAGCAGTCCTGCTGTGTGACCCTGTGCTGCAAGCCTGTCTGCTGTGGGCCAGTCTGCTGTGGAGCTGCTGCCTCTCCATGCTGCCAGCAGTCTAGCTGTGAGCCCTCTTGCTGCACCTCCTCTCCCTGCCAGCAGTCCTGCTGTGAACCCATATGCTGTGAGCCTTTGGTTTGTGAACCTGTCTGCTGCAAGCCTGTCTGCTGCACACCCATCTGCTCCGGGTCCTCCTCATGCTGCCAGCAGTCTAGCTGCCAGCCCTCATGCTGCACCTCCTCACCCTGTTCTGTGACTCTTGGCTGCAAGCCTGTCTGCTGCACACCCATCTGCTCCGGGTCCTCCTCATGCTGCCAGCAGTCTAGCTGCCAGCCCTCATGCTGCCAGCCATCCTGCTGTGTGCCTGTGTGCTGCAAGCCTGTCTGCTGCAAGCCCTGCTCCAGCGTGTCCCTGCTCTGCCGCCCTGTGTGCAGACCCGCCTGCTGTGTGCCCACCTCCTCCTGCTGTGCCTCCTCCTGCCAGCCCAGCTGCTGCAAGCCCTGCTCCAGCGTGTCCCTGCTCTGCCGCCCTGCCTGCTCCCGCCAGGCCTGCTGTGGCCTCTCCTCAGCCCAGAAGTGCAGCTGCTGACCCTGAGTCCTTGTCTGGGGTACTGTCCCACGCAGGCTTCGTCTGCTCTAGTCATTCCCATCCTCCAGCCTTGACCACAGAGGACAGCCATGGCCACCCAGAGCCTGGTTGACTCCTGAGCCTTCCCTGGGGCTGCTTAATGGAGCCCCACTGCCTCCTTAGGCTCCAAGTCATAAATTTGTCCCAACTCCAGCAGTCCTAGCCTCACTTGAGCTACCAATGCATCCTGGGAAGCCTGCCTTTTGGGCCTGGGGAGATAGCTCAGTGGTTAAGACCACTTATGCTTTTGCAAAGGACCTGAGTCCTGTTCCCAGCCCACAGCCGGTGACTTGCAGCTGCCTATTTTAAGTTGTAATTCCTTTTCCAGGGCATTTGCTGCCCTCCTCTGGTGTCTGGGGATACCTACACTCATGTGCACACACACACACACACACACACACACACACACACACACTTAAAATAAAAAATAAATCTTTAAACATGTCTCCTACTGACCTGTGTCTTGTGTGTGGCATGGGGTGGGTGGGGCCAGGCTTCTTGCAGCAAGTGGGACCTAGCTCAAGGGTACAGCCTGGCTCTTCTCAGAGTAGCAAGTTGGTATCTTGGTTAGGGATGTGGGGAAAAGTGAGTACCAGGCAGCCATGGACCCCTGAGCCATATCTGTTCTTCCCAGCCCCACAGATTCTCTTGAGTGCTAGTGTCCACTTCAGCATGACCCTCCTCCTGGGAAACCTCATCCCCATCCTCCCCTGGGTGACGAGCCCTTTATGGCAATGTTCCTTCTGCATCCAGCTTTCCCGGCAGCTCTACCCTCCCCAGGGTCCACACCTCAACCAGGGCTGCAGCTCAAGCCAGGACTCTGAGACCCCAAGAATGCCAGCCTCCTGCCAATCAATCCAGCCTCCCTGGATTCCAACACACTCCCTGCAGCCCTTCCAAGCAGCTGCTCCACACAGTGTGGAACTGACGTCCCTCCTTCCTGACCGGCATTCCAGACCCAATGTCCCGCCCTGCCCAAGCTCAGGGACCACATGAGTGGATGCTTGGTACAGTGTGATGGCTAATACTGCCAACTTGGCAAGAGCTAGCATCACCTTGGAAACAATCTGTCAGTGCATGTGGTGTCCCCTTCTCAGGCCAGAAGTCCAGGCGCTGACCTCAAGTCTTCATCTGAGTGCTGTGCCCACAGCCTGCTTCTCTACTACTCTAGATACTCCTAACCCTTTAGTCTTGACCAAGAGGGCAAGCCATAGGCCTCCATAGGCTCATATATTTGAATGCTCGAGGTCATGGAACTGTTTTGGGAAGGATTAGGAGGTGTGGCCATGTTGAGGAGGTATGTCCCTGGGGGTGGGCATTGAGGTTTTGAAAGTCCCGGTCAGTGTTGGTGGATTGAGATGTGAGCTCCCGGCTACTGTTACAGCACCATGGCCGCCTCCTCCCCCACCCCCCGCCCCGTCATGCTGGTCACGGACTCACTCTCTGAAAATGTAGTCAAGCCCCCAATAAAATGCTTTCTTCTATAAGCTGCCTTGGTCGTGGTGTCTCTTCGCAGCCCAGAGCAGTGACTGAGACAGCGTGTCTGTGAGGGAAATTTCTGAATTAGGTTGACAGAGGTGGGAAAACCCACCCTGAATGTTGGTGGCACCGTTCCATGGGCTGTGGTCCGGGACTGGATTAAAAGAAGAAAGGGAGCTGAGCCCCAGCACTCCCCCCCCGCCTCTCTCCATCTCTCCCTCCTCCCTCTCTCTGCTTCCTAGCTGCAGATACACCTGACTAGCTGCTTCATGCTCCTGCCACTGCACCTCTCTCTCCCCCGTCCCCCCCAAACTCCACTATAGCCACTGTCACGGCTGTGTCCCCAACAACTCCACCATCGTCACTGTCACGACCGTGTCCCCGAGAATTCCACCATTGCCACTGTCACGACTGTGTCCCCAAGAACTCCACCATCGCCACTGTCATGACCGTGTCCCCAAGAACTCCACCATCGCCACTGTCACGCCCATGTCCCCAAGAACTCCACCATTGCCACTGTCACAACCGTGTCCCCAAGAACTCCACCATCGCCGCTGTCACGGCTGTGTCCCCAAGAACTCCACCATTGCCACTGTCACGGCTGTGTCCCCAAGAACTCCACCATCGTCACTGTCATGACCGTGTCCCCGAGAATTCCACCATTGCCACTGTCACGGCTGTGTCCCCAAGAACTCCACCATTGCCACTGTCACGGCTGTGTCCCCAAGAACTCCACCATTGCCACTGTCACGGCTGTGTCCCCAAGAACTCCACCATTGCCACTGTCACAGCTGTGTCCCCAAGAACTCCACCATTGCCACTGTCACAGCTGTGTCCCCAAGAACTCCACCATTGCCACTGTCACAGCTGTGTCCCTGAGAATTCCACCATCGTCACTGTCACGGCTGTGTCCCCAAGAACTCCACCATTGCCACTGTCACGGCTGTGTCCCCAAGAACTCCACCATTGCCACTGTCACGGCTGTGTCCCCGAGAACTCCACCATTGCCACTGTCACGGCTGTGTCCCCAAGAACTCCACCATTGCCACTGTCATGGCTGTGTCCCTGAGAATTCCACCATTGTCACTGTCACGACTGTGTCCCCGAGAATTCCACCATTGCCACTGTCACAACCGTGTCCCCAAGAACTCCCCCATTGCCACTGTCACAACCGTGTCGCCGGGAACTCTGAGTCAGATAAGCCTTTTCTTCTCTTAAGACACTTTCCTGCCAGGTGTTTTGTTTGTTACAGGAGCAAGAAGAATAGACAATGCACCAGGTGACACCAGCTTTGCCACCTGTCCCAGGTCGTTACCCACAGGGCTCCTGTATTTGGGAGTCACCTCCCTTCCCTCACTCAGAAGACCACCTGAGATAACCACCAGGGGCATCCCGGCAGACAAATGACACACTGTCCTGGGGGACAAACCTACGTGACCATAGATAAGAGATCCCAAAGGACCACGCTGGACACATCCTGCTGTGGGTGTCGAGTGGCCAACGGGTGAGGCTCAGCCTCACTAGGGGTCAGCCCAGCATGCGTCTGTCCCTCTTTGGTGTCCCAGTGGCCATGGGGTTGGTGCAGAAGCCTGGCAGGAGAGGACTCACTGCGACCCCTGACTGCCCCTCGCACCTCTGCATGCTGACGCTCGAAACGCAGGGCTTCACCTGTCTGGTGACCCTTGGTGTGCCCGTCAGGAAGTGTGTCCCCTGTCTCCTGGGAGCCTCTTTCCTGGTGTGGCCACATGGGAAGACAGCTTCCAAAGCTGTTAATCACAGGGTGAGCCTGGAACTCTGCCAGCCCAGTCCTAAACATCATCCTGGGAGAAAGGAGAACATCTGTCCACACAGAACAGTGTCCATTCAGGTCCTGACAACAGGAAAGTATTCAAATGTCCGTCCTGAACTTGAACCCCAAAGGAATAAATGAATAAGCCAGAGATATAGCTGGTCTTTTAAATGGACCAAGGGAATTTTAAAGGCAAATATAATTAAATAAATGGGAACAGGAGTGAGCATATGGATTCAGAAGGTTTTAGTTTTAGGGACAATAGGACGGTGGGGGACTGAGACAATGAAGGTTTTGGTCTGATTCTTCAGGTGTAGGCTCCGATGGTTTTAAAGGTGTCTTCCATGGGAAGACCTTTCCCATAACATTTACAGCATCTTGGAGTTGGGGCAAAGTCATTTGGCTTCAGAATTGATCCAGTTAAGACTGCTGGATCCCTGGTGCTGAAATCAGTGGGAAGAAGCAGACAGAGGGACAGAGAGAGAAAGAGAACATGATATACAGTAAGAGACTCTCACTGCCATACAAAGTCTAAAATGTCAGCTCACAAAGGGTGGACCCGATGCACAAAAGTCAAACCGCCCAGTGTTCCGTGTTCCCGCCTGGAAACTGGTGAAAAACTCTGTGTGAGTTCTAGCAGTCTGGGCAACAGAGGAGAGAGAGTTTGTAAACTCAAGGGAACTTTGCTGGAGTCACAGGGACATTCCATTCACATCCCAAGATGAAACCACGCCTCTGTGAAACTGAAGATTAAATGTCTACAAGAAGTTAAACCCTGGCAACTCAGCATAAGGATGAATGACAGACTCCAGTGACAGAATGTGTCTGAAAATAAAACCAGGACAATCTTACAAACAGGAGTATGAAGGATAAAAGTGAGGGAAATGGGAGAATCGAGATATGTTGAAGGCTCACACCAGAAGAAACAATGTCTAGAATCATGAAAGGGAAAGCCAAAAAAGGAGAAGTGGGTTTTAGGATAATCCTCAGATGAGATGGCACACGGCAAGCCTCGACAGACAACAGAGAAATATAGATAGGCTGGAAACAGACATCGGCATTCTAGAATAAGAAGGAAGAAAGAAAACAACAGAGAGAAGTTGAAAGAAAAAACTGCCAGGGAACTCCAGTTGTCTCGGTTCAGGGACATGGGCACCAAAATAACAGGCATTGTCACCTGGGTTTAGAGGGATACTGGTTCAAAGCCAGAATTTTTGCTTGTTTGATTTTTTTTTCCTTATAAGACAGGGTTTCTCTGTGTAGCCCTGACTGTGCTGGATCTCACTCTGTAGACAAGGCTGGCCTTGAACTCACAAGAGCCTCTGCCTCTTGAGACCTGGGATTAAAGGTATGCACCATTACTGCTGGTCTCCAAACCCAGAATTCTATACCCAGCCAGACTATCCTGGCAGGCAGGCCCGGAGCTTCTGAAGTGTGGTCACTGTGGGATGTGGATTCTCTGGCCTTGGAACCATGGCAAAATGAAGACAGAAAAAGCTCAGAGTCTCCCTGGAAATGCTGAGTGTCTCAGGAGAAGGAGGAACACACACTGCAGAAGGAAGACCATACCTTCCCTCACAATGTACACACAGCTTCCTGTCATCAAGCCTCTGAATCAACTGTGTTGTATACGACTTGCATCCTGTTAACATATGGAAAGGGACAGGGGAGGGAGCTATCAGTAAGCCTCCAGGTGAGTTGTATTATGTAATATATGTGTATTTTTATTTTGCCTGTTTTAAAATGTTTAAAGCAATAATAATAACAATAATAATAATAGGTCCCGTTACTCAAGCACAAGATGACAACCACAGAATCCATTGCCATGGAGCACTGCTTACCTCCAAAACCTCCCAGGGGAAGTAGCTTCAAATGTTTCCCAGGCCTTCAGCCAAGTCCAAACAAAACAAACACAGGCGAGGTGTATACACCACTGATGACCAGCGCTAATGAGGGGGTTCCAGCCAGCCAGTAAGCAGGAAGGAAAGCCTGAGAAGTTTCTCGCCTGGACAACACCAGCCCAGAGTGGTATAAAAGCCAACAGCAGCCCCTCACACTCACCCACACTCACACTCTCACAGCTCCTAGCAGACCTGCCCACCATGGTCACCTCCACCATGTCCATCTGCTCCAGCGACCTGAGCTATGACAGCCGGGTCTGCCTGCCCGGGTCCTGTGATTCTTGTACTGACTCCTCCTGGCAGGTGGACGACTGCCCAGAGAGCTGCTGTGAGCCCAGCTGCTGTACCCCTAGCTGCTGCCAGCCCAGTTGTGTCTCCAGCTGCTGCCAGCCCAGCTGTTGTATCCCCGGCTGCTGCCAGCCCAGCTGCTGTACCCCAGCCTCCTACCTAACCCTCATCTGCACCCCAGTGAGCTGTGTATCCAGTCCCTGCTGCCAATCTATCTGTACCAGCTCCTGTGAACCCTCATGCTGCCAGCAGTCTAGCTGTCAGCCCTCATGCTGTCAGTCCTCCTGCTGTGTTCCTGTCTGCTGCAAGCCTGTCTGCTGCACACCCATCTGCTCGGGATCCTCCTCATGCTGCCAGCAGTCTAGTTGCCAGCCCTCATGCTGCACCTCCTCACCCTGTTCTGTGACTCTTTGCTGCAAGCCTGTCTGCTGCAAACCCATCTGCTCCGGGTCCTCCTCATGCTGCCAGCAGTCTAGCTGCCAGCCTTCATGCTGTCAATCTTCCTGCTGTGTGCCTGTCTGCTGCAAGCCTGTCTGCTGCACACCCATCTGCTCCGGGTCCTCCTCATGCTGCCAGCAGTCTAGCTGCCAGCCCTCATGCTGCCAGCCATCCTGCTGTGTGCCTGTGTGCTGCAAGCCTGTCTGCTGCAAGCCCTGCTCCAGCGTGTCCCTGCTCTGCCGCCCTGTGTGCAGACCCGCCTGCTGTGTGCCCACCTCCTCCTGCTGTGCCTCCTCCTGCCAGCCCAGCTGCTGCAAGCCCTGCTCCAGCGTGTCCCTGCTCTGCCGCCCTGCCTGCTCCCGCCAGGCCTGCTGTGGCCTCTCCTCAGCCCAGAAGTGCAGCTGCTGACCCTGAGTCCTTGTCTGGGGTACTGTCCCACGCAGGCTTCGTCTGCTCTAGTCATTCCCATCCTCCAGCCTTGACCACAGAGGACAGCCATGGCCACCCAGAGCCTGGTTGACTCCTGAGCCTTCCCTGGGGCTGCTTAATGGAGCCCCACTGCCTCCTTAGGCTCCAAGTCATAAATTTGTCCCAACTCCAGCAGTCCTAGCCTCACTTGAGCTACCAATGCATCCTGGGAAGCCTGCCTTTTGGGCCTGGGGAGATAGCTCAGTGGTTAAGACCACTTATGCTTTTGCAAAGGACCTGAGTCCTGTTCCCAGCCCACAGCCGGTGACTTGCAGCTGCCTATTTTAAGTTGTAATTCCTTTTCCAGGGCATTTGCTGCCCTCCTCTGGTGTCTGGGGATACCTACACTCATGTGCACACACACACACACACACACACACACACACACACTTAAAATAAAAAATAAATCTTTAAACATGTCTCCTACTGACCTGTGTCTTGTGTGTGGCATGGGGTGGGTGGGGCCAGGCTTCTTGCAGCAAGTGGGACCTAGCTCAAGGGTACAGCCTGGCTCTTCTCAGAGTAGCAAGTTGGTATCTTGGTTAGGGATGTGGGGAAAAGTGAGTACCAGGCAGCCATGGACCCCTGAGCCATATCTGTTCTTCCCAGCCCCACAGATTCTCTTGAGTGCTAGTGTCCACTTCAGCATGACCCTCCTCCTGGGAAACCTCATCCCCATCCTCCCCTGGGTGACGAGCCCTTTATGGCAATGTTCCTTCTGCATCCAGCTTTCCCGGCAGCTCTACCCTCCCCAGGGTCCACACCTCAACCAGGGCTGCAGCTCAAGCCAGGACTCTGAGACCCCAAGAATGCCAGCCTCCTGCCAATCAATCCAGCCTCCCTGGATTCCAACACACTCCCTGCAGCCCTTCCAAGCAGCTGCTCCACACAGTGTGGAACTGACGTCCCTCCTTCCTGACCGGCATTCCAGACCCAATGTCCCGCCCTGCCCAAGCTCAGGGACCACATGAGTGGATGCTTGGTACAGTGTGATGGCTAATACTGCCAACTTGGCAAGAGCTAGCATCACCTTGGAAACAATCTGTCAGTGCATGTGGTGTCCCCTTCTCAGGCCAGAAGTCCAGGCGCTGACCTCAAGTCTTCATCTGAGTGCTGTGCCCACAGCCTGCTTCTCTACTACTCTAGATACTCCTAACCCTTTAGTCTTGACCAAGAGGGCAAGCCATAGGCCTCCATAGGCTCATATATTTGAATGCTCGAGGTCATGGAACTGTTTTGGGAAGGATTAGGAGGTGTGGCCATGTTGAGGAGGTATGTCCCTGGGGGTGGGCATTGAGGTTTTGAAAGTCCCGGTCAGTGTTGGTGGATTGAGATGTGAGCTCCCGGCTACTGTTACAGCACCATGGCCGCCTCCTCCCCCACCCCCCGCCCCGTCATGCTGGTCACGGACTCACTCTCTGAAAATGTAGTCAAGCCCCCAATAAAATGCTTTCTTCTATAAGCTGCCTTGGTCGTGGTGTCTCTTCGCAGCCCAGAGCAGTGACTGAGACAGCGTGTCTGTGAGGGAAATTTCTGAATTAGGTTGACAGAGGTGGGAAAACCCACCCTGAATGTTGGTGGCACCGTTCCATGGGCTGTGGTCCGGGACTGGATTAAAAGAAGAAAGGGAGCTGAGCCCCAGCACTCCCCCCCGCCTCTCTCCATCTCTCCCTCCTCCCTCTCTCTGCTTCCTAGCTGCAGATACACCTGACTAGCTGCTTCATGCTCCTGCCACTGCACCTCTCTCTCCCCGTCCCCCCAAACTCCACTATAGCCACTGTCACGGCTGTGTCCCCAACAACTCCACCATCGTCACTGTCACGACCGTGTCCCCGAGAATTCCACCATTGCCACTGTCACGACTGTGTCCCCAAGAACTCCACCATCGCCACTGTCATGACCGTGTCCCCAAGAACTCCACCATCGCCACTGTCACGCCCATGTCCCCAAGAACTCCACCATTGCCACTGTCACAACCGTGTCCCCAAGAACTCCACCATCGCCGCTGTCACGGCTGTGTCCCCAAGAACTCCACCATTGCCACTGTCACGGCTGTGTCCCCAAGAACTCCACCATCGTCACTGTCATGACCGTGTCCCCGAGAATTCCACCATTGCCACTGTCACGGCTGTGTCCCCAAGAACTCCACCATTGCCACTGTCACGGCTGTGTCCCCAAGAACTCCACCATTGCCACTGTCACGGCTGTGTCCCCAAGAACTCCACCATTGCCACTGTCACGGCTGTGTCCCCAAGAACTCCACCATTGCCACTGTCACGGCTGTGTCCCCAAGAACTCCACCATCGTCACTGTCACGACTGTGTCCCCGAGAATTCCACCATTGCCACTGTCACAACCGTGTCCCCAAGAACTCCCCCATTGCCACTGTCACAACCGTGTCGCCGGGAACTCTGAGTCAGATAAGCCTTTTCTTCTCTTAAGACACTTTCCTGCCAGGTGTTTTGTTTGTTACAGGAGCAAGAAGAATAGACAATGCACCAGGTGACACCAGCTTTGCCACCTGTCCCAGGTCGTTACCCACAGGGCTCCTGTATTTGGGAGTCACCTCCCTTCCCTCACTCAGAAGACCACCTGAGATAACCACCAGGGGCATCCCGGCAGACAAATGACACACTGTCCTGGGGGACAAACCTACGTGACCATAGATAAGAGATCCCAAAGGACCACGCTGGACACATCCTGCTGTGGGTGTCGAGTGGCCAACGGGTGAGGCTCAGCCTCACTAGGGGTCAGCCCAGCATGCGTCTGTCCCTCTTTGGTGTCCCAGTGGCCATGGGGTTGGTGCAGAAGCCTGGCAGGAGAGGACTCACTGCGACCCCTGACTGCCCCTCGCACCTCTGCATGCTGACGCTCGAAACGCAGGGCTTCACCTGTCTGGTGACCCTTGGTGTGCCCGTCAGGAAGTGTGTCCCCTGTCTCCTGGGAGCCTCTTTCCTGGTGTGGCCACATGGGAAGACAGCTTCCAAAGCTGTTAATCACAGGGTGAGCCTGGAACTCTGCCAGCCCAGTCCTAAACATCATCCTGGGAGAAAGGAGAACATCTGTCCACACAGAACAGTGTCCATTCAGGTCCTGACAACAGGAAAGTATTCAAATGTCCGTCCTGAACTTGAACCCCAAAGGAATAAATGAATAAGCCAGAGATATAGCTGGTCTTTTAAATGGACCAAGGGAATTTTAAAGGCAAATATAATTAAATAAATGGGAACAGGAGTGAGCATATGGATTCAGAAGGTTTTAGTTTTAGGGACAATAGGACGGTGGGGGACTGAGACAATGAAGGTTTTGGTCTGATTCTTCAGGTGTAGGCTCCGATGGTTTTAAAGGTGTCTTCCATGGGAAGACCTTTCCCATAACATTTACAGCATCTTGGAGTTGGGGCAAAGTCATTTGGCTTCAGAATTGATCCAGTTAAGACTGCTGGATCCCTGGTGCTGAAATCAGTGGGAAGAAGCAGACAGAGGGACAGAGAGAGAAAGAGAACATGATATACAGTAAGAGACTCTCACTGCCATACAAAGTCTAAAATGTCAGCTCACAAAGGGTGGACCCGATGCACAAAAGTCAAACCGCCCAGTGTTCCGTGTTCCCGCCTGGAAACTGGTGAAAAACTCTGTGTGAGTTCTAGCAGTCTGGGCAACAGAGGAGAGAGAGTTTGTAAACTCAAGGGAACTTTGCTGGAGTCACAGGGACATTCCATTCACATCCCAAGATGAAACCACGCCTCTGTGAAACTGAAGATTAAATGTCTACAAGAAGTTAAACCCTGGCAACTCAGCATAAGGATGAATGACAGACTCCAGTGACAGAATGTGTCTGAAAATAAAACCAGGACAATCTTACAAACAGGAGTATGAAGGATAAAAGTGAGGGAAATGGGAGAATCGAGATATGTTGAAGGCTCACACCAGAAGAAACAATGTCTAGAATCATGAAAGGGAAAGCCAAAAAAGGAGAAGTGGGTTTTAGGATAATCCTCAGATGAGATGGCACACGGCACGCCTCGACAGACAACAGAGAAATATAGATAGGCTGGAAACAGACATCGGCATTCTAGAATAAGAAGGAAGAAAGAAAACAACAGAGAGAAGTTGAAAGAAAAAACTGCCAGGGAACTCCAGTTGTCTCGGTTCAGGGACATGGGCACCAAAATAACAGGCATTGTCACCTGGGTTTAGAGGGATACTGGTTCAAAGCCAGAATTTTTGCTTGTTTGATTTTTTTTTCCTTATAAGACAGGGTTTCTCTGTGTAGCCCTGACTGTGCTGGATCTCACTCTGTAGACAAGGCTGGCCTTGAACTCACAAGAGCCTCTGCCTCTTGAGACCTGGGATTAAAGGTATGCACCATTACTGCTGGTCTCCAAACCCAGAATTCTATACCCAGCCAGACTATCCTGGCAGGCAGGCCCGGAGCTTCTGAAGTGTGGTCACTGTGGGATGTGGATTCTCTGGCCTTGGAACCATGGCAAAATGAAGACAGAAAAAGCTCAGAGTCTCCCTGGAAATGCTGAGTGTCTCAGGAGAAGGAGGAACACACACTGCAGAAGGAAGACCATACCTTCCCTCACAATGTACACACAGCTTCCTGTCATCAAGCCTCTGAATCAACTGTGTTGTATACGACTTGCATCCTGTTAACATATGGAAAGGGACAGGGGAGGGAGCTATCAGTAAGCCTCCAGGTGAGTTGTATTATGTAATATATGTGTATTTTTATTTTGCCTGTTTTAAAATGTTTAAAGCAATAATAATAACAATAATAATAATAGGTCCCGTTACTCAAGCACAAGATGACAACCACAGAATCCATTGCCATGGAGCACTGCTTACCTCCAAAACCTCCCAGGGAAGTAGCTTCAAATGTTTCCCAGGCCTTCAGCCAAGTCCAAACAAAACAAACACAGGCGAGGTGTATAC